AGTGCCCAGCGAAGGGTAACCTGGGCGAGGGGCGATCGCGCGGTTCGTGGCTGTCACCCTTCGTGACGCCAATGGGGGAAGAGTGGGAGGAAAGCCCCACCGAGGAGTCCTGTAAGCAGGTTAGACCAAATGGCACTGACTGACCCTCTGGAATCCGGAGCTTTCCAAGGACTCGCGCCTCCCTTTAGAGCTATGTGGAGTCACGCCCATGGAGCGCCAGAGGTGGGGTGGGGGCAGGGGCAGCCAGGAGCTGCGGGGGACCGGGGCCAGTGCCAGGAAGCCTTTCTGATCTCCCACTGGAAATTGGTTAGTAGACAGTTCAGTAACCTTTGTTCCTTCTTTTTAAGGCTGTCTCTTCAATATGGGTAGAGCAGATATTGGAACCAAGTCAAGGAACGCTTATTTCCAACTAGCTATCCTGTGGGTAGATAAACTCAGAAAGCTAAAGTGACTTGCCTAAAATCACGAAGCTGGTAAATGGTCCAGTTCAAACTTGCCGCGGGGTCTTCCGAATCCAGGTGTGGTGCTTGTCACTACATCATGCTCTCAGGAAAAAACAGTGCCAGAAAGAAACAGTTCTTGGAGGATTGGAAGCATGGTTCAGCCCACTAGGTAAGAAACAGGTCACCTTCGTCAGTTTTATTTCTCTTTGGCATTTCTGAGGAGAAGGAAGCTCAGGTAGGGCTTCCTGAAGGTAAGAGAGAGGGACTTTTGGAGACAGACCCCTGCAGTGTAAAGGGAGAAATGGAGTTTGGGACTCTCCAGACTAGTTGGCACATCAGGTAGGCATAACGCCAGCATGTTAAAGGTGCTGTCATAAGAGAAACTGACACATGGTATCCTTCACAGCTGGAGGGAAGAAAAGTTGAGAGAAGAAAGAGGTAGGTATAAATAAAAACTCTGAAGGTGAATACTGAGCAAGTTGTGCTGAGAGAGGAGAAATGGGGGAGGGGTGTGGGTGTTGAATACAAAGGCGAGACATCGTCCCTGATTTTAAGCATTTGAACTTTTTGCTTTCATTTTTTGTTTTATTTTGAAAAAAGCAAATAAATGGCTTTTTTTTTAAGTATAGAGAGAGTTGTCAAAATACCCGACTAAATGGGAACTCCAAGATGTATCAGGGTTATTGAGAGTAGCAAATTATGGACACATTCTAATTGCTTTGGACCCAAGAAATAAAGTAGGAAAGAAACAGAGAAAGCCCTTTAGTAGGATTATTCCTGGGGCTGGGGCTGAGAGGGATGGAGTGGGGCTACGGGCAGGGGAGTTCCGTCTCAGACCTGGCCTCAGCTCCCAGATTTGCAAATATTCACAATGTAGGGACAAGATCACAATCAGTCATTAGGAATATCACAAATAATTTAATATTTATATTTTGCTTTACTAAGAAACCATTTTTTAATATCACCATAGGATCTACCTGCTGTAATCTCATTTTCATTCACTTCCATCCTGATACTGCTACTAGAGTGGGTGTTGAAGGGATGTCAGGATTTCCTTTAACTGTGGACACAACAGTGTGGATCCCTAACTCAAATGGCATAGGATATGTACACATCATTGAAAACCAACTCCAGGCAAACCTTCAT